TACACACACTTAAAAAAAAAAAAAAAAAAAAAAAATGGCTACAATCTCAAAAAGTAGCGAACGCGCAAGTTTCTGATAACATTTGATAAATGTATCGAAAAGAGAGATCAGGAACTTGTCAAGAGAAATCTAAAATGTATCGTGCAAGCTTCCCCCCGAGTGTCCATTGGCAAACGTTGTTTTCGGAGAAGCATAAACATAATTTGCAGCTGCCACGATGAGTTAGCGTTGCTCGAAAATGATGAAAAACGACGCGGTTCATTCAGAACAGTAAGAAGCAAAGCTTTCAGTGTCATTCTTTCCCGTTCTTTGACTGAAAAGAATTATATTCTACGAGACATCCTGTTCCATGCAGCATATAAATATCTTAAAGTCTTAACAAAGAGTGGGGTGGGGGGGTGGGGGGGGGACATCAGACAATGCTTGTAAGCTTTTATGTTTTCTGTGACTTGACATTAATGAATGCTCAGCGATGGCTTATCAGTCCTCGGACCAATCAAAGCTTTGTTTTAAGGGTTGAGCCTGCGTCAGTCGCGTTTATTCATGATGACAGCGTGAGCTTTATTTACTTCCTGTCTGCCAAATATCGAGCGTCAAACATCACACCGCCGAGCTCACCGTAGGGGGGAAAAAAAAAATAAAATACAGGAACCGTCTTGACATTTCCCGAGGGAGTCAGAAGTCGACGTAGCAAATAATTAGCGTTCATCGTCATGCTGATGATGATCTGCAATCTGCGCGCTTCACAATAAGGTCAGAGTTGGGCTGACCCAGCAAGGACACGAACACAATATTAGCATTCGTGATTGAAAAGCATCATGCAGTCAGCATCTAAACTCTTTTTTTCATTATTTTTTTTAATCGGGGCTAAATGGCATAGCAGCTACCTTTTGACTAAAAATCAGCACGGACAATTTTGCTGCCACGCTAGCAATAAAATTAAAAAAAAAAAACGAGTGCTGTCAAACGATTAAAATATTTAATCGCGATCAAATGTATAATTTCATAGTTAACTCAGAATTATCCAGAATTAATCACAGATTTGTATCTACTCTAAATTTCCTTTGATTTCTTTTTCTCTTATTTTTCCCATTTTAATGCTCTCATCAACAAGGAATCGTGGATCTGTTTTCTTTGTGCAAAATGCAAATATTTACTGAAACAACAGTGCCGCATTAATCTCGCGATAAAAAAATTAATCGAGTTAAAATTGTCTTCAATTAATGCCAATAATAACGCGTTAAACTGACAGCACTAAAAAAAAAAACAAATCATAATGGTCTTGTCCTATTATCCTATTATTGTCCTGAAAAAAACAATTCCGAACCCCAAAGTTCCACTTTGCCCGTTTTCATTTCTTTCCCCCCTTGCAGAGCTTCTGTCAGCCTGCCACGAGCTGCGGTGCCGCTACGGCTGCGTCATGACGAGGAACGGCACCTTCTGTTTCTGCGCTGACGGCTTTGAGGTTGGCGAGGACGGCACGAGCTGCCGAGGTAAGACTCCCAAACGCCGCCGCCCACTTCCTCTCTCCATCCTCCTCCTTTCCCACGCCTGCCCCCCCCCCCTTTGCCCTCCATCAGACTTTCCCTGAGGTGGAAAAGCGGGAGGTGCGAGGTGCGCGAGGCCATCTGTCGCCAGGCAGGGGCCTCCGTTCACAGCGTCGCGTTCGCGGCCCCGGCACAACAACAGAAGGCGCGCTATTTAGCTGTGGCTTTCTTTTGCTCATCCCGATGCAGCGCAAGCCAGTTTTCTGCCCAAGGAGATCTCGTTTCAATGCCAAAAGGGGCATCCAGAGTTGTTTCTCGTTTGCGCATACGTGGCACTGTGGTAACACAGTGCAATGCACCCTGCTGGACACACTTGTTTTCTTCCCCACTTTCTCAAAATTGGATGTTTCGAGCCGTCACTTAACTCATTGACACGGAAACAAAGAAATACGTCGTTAGTGTGAATTTTTTTTTTTTTTCCTCAATGGATTGCTTCATATTTATGGCCCATGGCCCACTTTAAACATCGACTTCCATATACGCTGTGAATGCCAGATCTGGATTACTGCTTGGACACGTATGCCGTCCATTGAACCGTTTTTCTACATCAGACTTGTCCTAATCAGCACTGATACCAATTTTTTTTTCCACCGGTGTTTGTCCCTCGGAGGCCATTTCAGAACCGTACCAGAGCAAGGATAACTCTTGCACTAAAGGGGAAATAAACAACCACCTTACAGGAACAACACGTACATCTTGTACATGGAAAAAAATAGGGCACGTCTTGAAATCCATCCACTTCTGCGACCAGCTTAAAAAAAAAAAAAAATCTATTTGGGCTCCCACAAGGCCGACTGAATGTGGACCAAACGTTTGAGACGATAAAATGACTTTGCAGATGCACTGCAATCTGTTACGTGGCGTGGATGATGCCCTTAAAGGGAATGCCAGCAGTTTTTCCTTCGCCATCGAGAGCAATATCAGACCGGTCACGATAGGACTGACAAGTTCGATCACCTTTTTGAGGACGGAACTCACAAAAGCCCGCTGAGAGAGAGTCACAGAACATGCTGGCATCTCTGCGTAATCACGCGAACATGGCGCTGTCCCAAACAAGGTTCCTTGGTCATCCAAGTGTTTGCCAAAGGTGCTGAAGTGAGGCCCGGTTCAGTGTACCGTGTGGATTTGGGTCATCTGAGAGCACGCCTAATTTGTTCCCACTGCCTCTCTATTTTTTTCCCCCCCTCAGACCATGATGAATGTGCCCAGTATGGCTCGTGCAGCCAAACCTGCACGAACACCTACGGCTCATACAGTTGTAGCTGCGTGGAAGGATACGTCCTGCAGCCCGACAAGACGTCGTGCAAAGCCAAACGAGGTGAGTTTGCGTCATCGCACACGTGGCCCTTTTTTTTTTTTTTTTTTTTACAAGACGTCGTGCAAAGCCAAACGAGGTGAGTTTGCGTCATCGCACACGTGGCCCTTTTTTTTTTTTTTTTTTTTTTTTTTTTTGGTGTCTTTTAAAAGGCTTTTCTTCAACCGGAGTGCCATGATCGCATATCGCCCGCTCCTCAGGTTGTTGGAGCAAGATGAATGTGGTTTGCCGCCGACTCCATCTATCACCCGTGTGGGAATTGCAAGATGTGGTCAGGCCAGGATAATGATCAAATTAATGAGCACGAGGGAAGTGGGAGCAGTCGACCGAGTTGAATGCCGAGACAATGCCCGCCGTAACTCTGATTGATGCTAATGCCAGATTGCGGTAGTTCATATACCCAAAGGAATTAAAAGGCCCACTTAGAAGTAACGCAACCGAAACAGATGTTAAGGCTCGACGGTCGATGATCAATAAGTTAAAGAAAAAAAAAAAAAAAGAATTATATCTGTGTGCAGCACATACTTCTATTGTACCCGGAAGCTTTTTAACCGATTTTATTTATTGTGGTCTCGATGGCATATGTGTTGAAAATAGCTGGAGGCGCAGCGCACCCAGCAGGGGGGGGCAACGCCGCCGTCGCCGCTTTTAATCAACGGGTCCTACCAGGAATAAAGTGAATATGATTAACCATAAACTGAAGCGAAGGCAATGCTGGGCTACATTGATATTCATTTAGCATCGAAGGGGGATGGTGGTTTGGCGCTAACCAAGGGTTTACCGTTATTTGCGACGGCTCATGAATATAAATGTTCAGATATAGTTCTCCGGGGCCAGTAGATGAAAAGCAGCAGGTTATTAAACAACAAACAACAACAACAACAACAAAACTCCACGTAAGATGGAAGGTCCAAGTCCGCAGTGCAATTGAAGAATTCATCTTGATCTAATCTGTTCTCATTTGGTTCAGACCGACTTGAAATATTTCATTTCCAACACACGGCTCTGAAATGAAATCTGAAATGCTTTTATATCTTGGCTTTTAGCAAGATACCGCTACTCTCTCCAGATAAGGAAAACGTAAGTGTGGGGTAATTGCGCGCTTCTGACAAACGCATTGATTGACATGTCCTTTTTTCCCCCCACAGTCGCAAAAATTCGAGTGCCTAAATAAGATGTGCTGCACTGCGTGCGCTTTGTACAGTATTTGGGGTAATCACTTCACTATCATGTTTTTGCCAATACATGAAATGTTTTTTTTTTCCGTCTCGATATAGCAAGACAAATAGTCCCCTCGAAGCAGCCTTGGAGACCGCAAGTCTTTTACTCCTCAATGAACACCGACGACGCGCGATTGATTAATGATGTCACTTGATTAGGCACCGCGATTGTTCCAGTCTCACACCGGCACTTTGATTCATCCGATGATGCGATGCAACGCACTCCTTTGTATTGCTTTTGTTATTGCCAGCGTGTCTTTCACACATCTTTCTTTCCATATCCCGACCAGATGCGGGCGACAGGCAACCCGTGCTTCTCATGGGTGGATCGGACCGTATTGTCATCAGCCACCTCAATGGAACGGGCTTTCTGCCTCTGAGGTCTCTGAGTGTAAATGGAAGTCTGGCCATGGATTTCCAGCACAGCCAGGACAAGGTTTGCTGGGTTCTGTCCAAAGAGTCCTCTGGGCAACTTCGCTGCGCCGAAATGAGGAATCTACGCAGGCTCACGCGGGAAAAGGAAATAACAACACAACAGCACTTGCACAGTATGTTCTGTTTTGTTTTTTTTCTGGAAACCATCAGAACGACGAGTAATCGGTGGATAAAAAGGGACAATGGGATTTGAGTTGCAAAATTAGCATGAGGACTATGAAGAACCTGAAAAAAGGCAATTTTACTATGCTGCCCCAATATTGACTGGCAAGCCGCGGGCAAGGGAATGACAAAAACGGCCAAGCCGGCAAATGTTGAGGGCTTCACGTCGGTTCCCGGTCATACCCGACGCCCCGCAAAGATTCGAAAAGTTGAGCGTTTTTTTGCCTGGCAAATACGTTATTATTTATGATTAATTATTGGTAATTAAATTGCTGGCATGTATCCAACGTGCAAAACGGAGTGGAAACGTGAATATATTTACAGCCATATTTTATATCGTTGATTGGTAGTTTTTCCTCAGTCATTGTAGTTTCCTGAGAATGTAAAGATGGATCCAAAGAAGGGTTTTTTTTTTCTTCCTCAAATATAATTTTCGTCATGCACTATTGCCGGAGCATACTGAGCATCCCCCCCCCGCCCCCCCCCAAAAAAAAGCTCCCTTGTAAATTTAATAACACTGCTCACACCTGAGATGCTCTATTTGTCCCAAAATGTATTTTGATGTTAATAACAAAAAAATGTCCACCATGTTTCCCATGAGTTGTCACTTTCAACCACTGTTGAACCTACAGAACAAAAAAAAAAAAATCATCTGTAAAAGATGACTTGCATCTCTGATTCCAAACTACATGAACGATGTAGTGGGCAGCGGAACGTCCCCGCTTTACTGACCCCCGTCGCTGTTTCGCGCTATGATCTGATTTCCTTGTTTGCACTTTTGATCAAACACAGTCAATATCAATGACAAAAGCGGTGGCCTTCACGGGAATGTAATCTTGAGGCGCTTCCGCATGGAGATATTGCCTTTCAAGACAATCTTGTCCCTGGGGAAAGATTCCGAAAGCACCGGCGGCGCTGCCGGCTGCGCAGCCATCCGCACCACTCATTCTGGTTTTGGTCTAAATTCCGAACATTGCCATCCTGCATTCGGAGCGGACCCCATTGTGTGTGATAGGGAACGTTTTAGCGACATTCGAATGGTTCTCGTAGCCACGGGAAGTCGTTGATTACGGCTCCATCGTTCTCATTGCAGATGCTGAGCACATGGCTATCGACTGGCTGACGGGCAACTTCTATTTTGTTGACCGGGTCACCGACAGGATATTTACGTGCGACCAGACTGGCGACACTTGTGTGACTCTCCTGCAGCTCGACCTGCTGAATCCGAAAGGAATCGCTCTGGATCCTCTCACGGGGTGAGTGGTCCGCCGCCTGTGTTAGCAAAGCGTTCCAAAAAGCACCACAAATGGACTCATCATCATTCATCGGGGTTTTGTTTTTGCCATGAAAAGCAAATTATAGAAGAAGGAAGTAATTACGATGCACAACGAAGCTCCTCGGGAAGCATGTGAGTGAGTTAGAATGAAGTGATTTGAATGATTGTGCATCCCAGTGATGCATCTGCTGTCTAGACATACATTTGCAGTCACACTTGTCACCTTACATCTTTCGTGAGGAAATTCAGCAAGCGGGATTTTCAGTTCGAGGAGGGGAAGGAGTGTGCATGAATGATTTCTTTCTTTCTTTGTTTTTCTTTTCTTTTTTTTTTGTGTGTCAGTCATATGAGTGAGAGTTGTCACCATTCACAACCGCAGCGAGGTTGTCAACAAATACGGGATGGAGGAACGGAAGGTTTTCCAGGTCGTTGATGTTGTCAGCGGTGCAAAGTTTTAATCTGCCTTCCATAAACGAGGTGGCAAACAGGTGCTGGGCCTTTCTGACCAAAAAATCGAGAAAACAAGCTGTGGCTTGGATGCTAACACCGTATATGTTGCTTTTGTGACACTTCAACCTACAAAAAAAAATCCAGTCCCACGCTGTGAAAAACGCAGACTCACTCGATGGCTTCATTTGAACGCCACTGGCTTTTTTTGACATTCACTCCATAAACGGTGACGGCTTTTCTCATAATCATGACACACGCTTTGCGACTACCTACAATGAGACATATTCTCATTGTATACAAAGTGCTTCCTCTGGTCGAGTGTCAGGTGTCTTAACCTTGACCTTGGATTCAAAATGTGTGCTGATCTCAAATCCAAAGACGCTCTTCCATGCTAAACCATTCTTGACGTGCACACTCATGGGCGGCACTAGACAATTCCAATTGACGAACATAAACATCCTATGGCAGCGAATGAATGAATGATGCAACCAGGACAAAATAAATCCTCCCTTGGTCAGTGACTCCTTGCTGTCTTGAAGTAATTGCTTTCCCTTGCAGAACAATACGACCTGGCAGATATGTGTTTGAAAAAAAAATCGACACTTCCAACTTTGTATTCCGCATATATTCTGACAGGCTCAGGTACCGTGCCTGCTCACTTTTTGAGCATGAAGTCTGTCAAACAGAAGAAATCCGGGTAGCATTTAACAGCAACACGGGAGCGTTTGTAAAACGTGACTTTGCTTCAAGGAAAAACAAAAGCGAGCGAAGAAAGTGAGCCGCTCGACTGACAAATTCATCCGGTCTTGATAGAAACGCATATTTATGAGCGCGATAACGCGCGTCATCTTGGCAGCGTCTTACTCTTCTGATTGTGGTCTTTTGGGAGTAAATTCCTCCCTGCAGTCTGGGTAACTTGCGAAAATAGATTTTTTTTTTTTTTTTAATGATTAATAATCACAATAAAATAGATTACTAGCCCCAAGGTAAGTGTTTTTGGAGTGTCTTTGCTTGCTCCGTGTGAGTGAAGTTGAACAGCTGCCAGTGTTGGCAATCCTCTTTGTGGTTTGCGGGCCGCTGATCACTTCTTTGTCAGTTCATCCCCCTCGGAATTGAGTTTGCTCACCGTGGGCTTTTGCTACAGCGGCCATCTTTGAACATGACATGATTTGGGATTGATTGCCGTCAAGGCTGCCGGCTGCCGCGGAAACTCCGACCTCATTCTTTCAGTCAGCCTTAGCTCCTTACCCTGGGTGAATGTCGGCCCATATATCATCCGGTGAAGTGGGGCTTTCACCCTTGCGTGTTTTGACCGCGTCCTTGTTTCTCACGACCGCGTCTGGTCGACGCACTTCATTGACATTCACTTGCTACGGGTTCGGAGTCAAACAAAATAAAGCTTGAACTTTGACAAGACCGACGCTGACGCCAGCAAATTGATCGGAGGGATCTTGAAGGGGTCCCTCAACATGACAACTCTTCATTTCTGTGATGTTGATACACCCGCGGACACAGAATGTCAATTAACACTTCGGCGGCGTTGCTTATGCGACGCACTGCCCTCATATTGATTGAAAAAAAAGGGAGTGACGTTACGGCGCTGTGCTTTCTCACCGGTCTGGCCCCATACGTCTCTTCAGAGAGATTGGTCGTGCGCCCACATTGAAAAGAGTCCAGTCCAATCGGATGGTTGCAGCGTGATTTGAGACTGTCAAGAGCAAGAGATTGTCGCAGCGGTTTTTGTCAAATGGAGGAAAGAATGATGAATTTAGTGTTGAAGGATCCGATTTCAGTATTAACGTCACGAATGTTATCTTGAAATTAATTCAAGTATGGATAACATATATCTGGCACTTGCCAAATATGCCATATATCAGGGCTGTCAAAATAATTTTTGGCGCAGGCCAGATTTGAGTTACTTTCCCTTGGAGGGCCGTTATGAATGTGAATACATATGAAGTAGTCAAGAATAACGGTTTATTCACCGAATGCTTAAGTGATTGTAATGAGGGGTTTGGTCACAAGGAAATGCTGACAGTATCACTCTTATATATTACAAATGAGAATTTGAAATTTTGGTAGCGATTTTAGCAAGCATCATGAACGTTTGGCATTTTTGATTTGCTTTCACGGGCTACATAAAATGATCTTGAGGGCCAGATCACGCCCCCGGGCCTTGAGTATATGGACACGCCGTTCGTCTTTGTGCTGTTTTATGCCACAAAAACCAAGTGCAGTTTGGAACAATACCTCGATTAGCATTGTTAGAATTGGCCAAACTCTTCTGAGCAACTACTCCGTTGAAGACTACACGGCTGCGCACCTGTTTGGGGAGCGGTTTTCTTTTGCTGATGCGTCCTTTTCTTTGATCAGCAGTTTGGAGGGCAGCCCTTCCCTTCCCTTCGCTGACCTGACGTGTGCACATAAAGCTCGATCTCGGTCGGTGCTCGCTCTGGGTGCCGAGTCCTTGTTCATGACTGGCTGATGTTGAAGAGGTTGCACAGCATGACAAGTGTTAACCAGTACGCCCCCCAACAAATGTGAGAGCTTGATAACGACACACAAATTGCACAAGGGGAAAAAAAAAATCACTTAAGTTGGGAAAGAAAAGTACCAACGCCAACATTTAATTAGTCCGAAATAGAGTCTTAATCTGGAAGAACAACAACAACATGCTTCCACGACTGCTACAATGATTCGCCTGGGCCAAATAATTCAAAAAAATGTTTCGACAAACTGACAATCCACAGTTTTTCGGTTGTGTGAGCGATTCTCTTTCGCAAATGTGCTGCACAACGGCTGCTTTCTGTGTGAAACTGACTCCCTGTGTCTTTCGAAATTGATTTCAAGCCCCCCTCCTCCCCCCACCCAGTATTAAAGGTACTTAGTGCTTTGGCTCCTGTGTGCATTGTGCTCTCATACCTCGAGGTCCTCTGCAGCACGCTTTTTTTTTTTTTTTTTTTTTTTTAAATACCCAACAATTACAGTTGAAGAAATGGAAAATGTTGTTCTTGTGGTGCGTGTCGCCGCAGGTATTCGAGCGCCTCTGTGGGTGGCCTGGCTCAGCATTTAAGGAGACCTCCAAAACGCCACTTTTCATTCATTAATTTGAGAAACGCTTTATTTGATTTTATTTTTTCTTTGGCCCTCCATCCATTTTTTGGTGGCGCTAACATTAGACGAGGCGCGACGCACACACATGAAGCAAACACGTTGGAGCAAAAACGAGAACACTGAAGATTGTCATCATCCCAAGTAAGGCTGTTTTCACAAGGCATCACACCGAATGTGCTTCGACCGAGCAAGCGCTCCTTAAGCCTGTTACACGCGTTTAAAGATAATTGCTCAAAGCAATTTCGAGCCCGATTCACCCGGTGTGACCAAAGTCAACAAATGTCTCGAAAGATTACCCCGAAAGACTATCTTGTGATGTGCGCTGTATAAAGAGAAGGAATAAAGCTACCGGCCCATACCATAGTGGACATCTGTACTCAGAATACTAGCGCGCCTGATACCAGCCTATCATATGTAATACGAATCTCTCCCCTTGAGTGTTCAATGTATGTGTTTGGCATATAAAAAGAGACAGAGAGAGAGAGCATGTAGCCGACATTTCCCATAGATGTGTCCAAGTTCCATTTTAGTAACAAATTACTCATCATTCCTTTTAGCATGGCAATGTTCCTTTTCATGTATTTTGTGGGTGTGCGTGCGTGTGAGATCAACAACATTTGTAGTGTCTGCGATCGGGTCGAGAGTTCCAATAGCCTGTGTGGGACTGTGCGTCCTAGCTCATCTGTCACTTAACGTTAGCGATAACAACTGCCTGTGAATGAGAGACACATTGTTAGCGCTGCCACATCAATGGGGAAACAAATATCCACTTCATTTATTTCAGTTCCCGGCGCTGCGAGATGCTTTATCCAGTCGGCGATTTGTTATTTGGAATTGGATGGGCCCCGTCTCAGTGGGGGCTTCCTTACTTTTGCTCCCACGCTAGCTAGGCGTCGATATTGTTGCTAGCTGCCTGCAGCTGACGTTTCTAATTCTACCACGCTATTATCCCCTTCCAATTCTTGATTTTTTTTCTCTTTCCGCCACATTTGTCTTTCTTTAATGACGGAAGGCCGCTTTTCCGTTTCACAGAGCAGACTGCGACTCTTCCAGGTAGAGTTTGATTGCATCTTGCTCATGCAGGACCATTTTGGATGGCGTGACCTCTGGGTTCTATTCATCATCGAGGCGCCTTGACAACATCAAATCAACGCTGCGCGATAAGTTCAAGCCGTCTTATTGGTCGTTGGCAAATCTGGCCTCAAATTCACAACGCGACCCACAACTTGTATTCCTTTGTGCAAGATGTGTTTGAATGGTGGCGGGGGAAAAAAATACTTGGTGAAGGTATGGGACTGCTTTGTGATTCAAAGCATCGTGTGTGAAACACGGTGGAGGAAATGTTAAGCGCTGACCATATGTGAAGCACGAACGGCCATGACATTCATCGTGGAGGCTTTGGAAAAAGGGTGTTGCTTGTCTGGAAAAAAAAATGTTTACATGTTTCGCACACTGCATGTGGTATTTCCTTTGGAAGGTCAAGTGGTCCTATCGGACCGATTTTGTTGAACATGACAAAAAAATGCTCTTGTGGGACTGATTGAGTTGAGTTTTGCAAATGTGACCATGAACAAAATCAAAGATGTTGATGTCGGTGCAAAAAATTTGATGTGGACCTCTCATACGGTCAGTATTCAAGATTTCTAATGTCGAGATTAACAAAGTCCCGGAAAAGCAAAAATCAGCGCTGCAAAGAAACACTCAAAATAAAGCGCATACATGACAGCAACAATGAACTGACACAGACGGACAAAACATATAAAACTAAAAAAACAATTATTCTGATGAGACAACGAGGCACACCTGGACAAGACACAAATGGGCACACAAAATGGCTGCCCTGTAAAAAAAAAAAAAAAAAAAAAAAAAAAAGTCTTTGTTGAATGAATGGCCTTTCTATTCATTTCAATGGGAAAAGATGATTTGAGATACTGTCCGGGTATCTTGCTTCTCAAAGCACCTCTGCACTTGGTCTTTTTGTAGCATGATGTTCTTCACCGACTATGGGAACGTGGCCAAGGTGGAGCGCTGCAACATGGATGGCACCAACAGGACCCGGCTGGTGGATTACAAAATCGAGCAGCCCACAGCTGTGGCGCTGGATGTGGTCAAAAGGCTGGTCTACTGGGCAGACGCCTACCTGGATTACATCGACGTTGTGGATTACCAAGGCAAAAACCGACACAACATCTTCCAGGGAAGCCAAGTGAGTGACTGCCTTTTGCTTTTTGGACCCTTTTATCGCAATGGGACGGGCGGCGCGCAAAACCGTCAGATGACGATCGCCTGCGCATGGTTGGTGAATATGAGACAAGCGCGGGAAGGAGAAGATAAACCAAAGTTAGCCTTCGATTCCAACACTTGACGTCGCTGGCCTGGATCATTAAGCACCTGCAAAGAACAACAAGCCGTCACTTAAAATCGATCTCATTAATGGTGAATTGATTCATATTTGTATTTTAATGATGTGCGATAAATCATATCGGCCCAAACCATCTCATCTGAAACGTCAAGCGAATGCTTACTGCTGACATGAAGTTCATCAGACAGCCGATGCATTTGTATACTAATTAGGTAGGTCGAAGCAAATTAAGGACCAAAGTAGTTTTGTCCCTTTTTTTCCCCGCGCACATTTCATAAAAGCAAAACACAAGCGTGTGCTACACGACCGATTTGGCTCATTAAAATACAGCGATAAGCTTTCCTCTCCAGCCCGTTTGTCATATCTCGTACAATTTGTCCACCGACACGTCGTTAAACTAAGTGGACTCAGCTGCTTAATGACAATCTAGTAGCGATAGCAGCAACGCCACCGCCGATATCAATGTGTGCCGAAGAAATGTGAAGATTCCACCAGAGAGGCGGAACACGGGTTGTGCTTGTTTCTGCGTTTCGTCCGACTTGTGTTTCCCTGTGCCCCCGATGTCACGTCGCGTGTCCCTCGGGTTTAGCTCCGCTTCCCGTGAACACGGCTCAGCCAGTCATGTCACTTTTCATGGGTGTCAGCCTGCTAAATGTAGCATGGATGCCCAGGTATCAAGGCAGCGTCAGCCCCCGCAGGGCTTTCCGGCTCCTCGGCCCAGTCGGTGGCCTGCCGAGTGTGCAGACGGGCGCTTGCTCGCCCCAACAAGTCGGCGTGATTTGAGCCATCTGACTGGACTAGGTTGTCGTATCATAAGAAAAGCTCGTTTGATCTCTTTTTTTTTTCCCCCCCCAGGTGTCAAACATTTATGCATTAGCTGTGTTTGAGAACTTCCTCTATGCTACCGAGAGTACGCACGCTGAGCCTTGGAACGAGGCGACGCTGCTGCAAATCCACCGGTTCAACGTCACAGCAGAGCTGAAGACGCTGGCGAGTGTGGGGAATACGCAAGCACTCCGCGTTTACCACAAACTCAGTCAACCCAAAGGTAAACCACACAACCAACGTGCCAGGGGTTGGACAACTTTGGATATTTTGCAATCGACGCCAAGGCGCTGATGGTCGTGTTGACGTTGATTAGTGGATGACCGCGGTGATCTTTTTCAACACTGACTCGCTCACTCGTTTTCCCTGCCCTCTTCGGTTACCCCCGCCCAATCACAGCCTTATACCTTCATGGCCTCAAACACGGTCTGAACTTGTCAACTGTCAACACCCATTTAAAAGTTACGACCGTTGGTGACACCGTAAAGTTACCCGAGTGTGATTTGTAACTGTAAATCGACTTCAAGCAACAATCGTCATCGAGCGGCACTTCAGCCGAAGCGTCAATTATTTGAGAAGTCCTTTTCACCCCCCCTGGTGTGTGCATGCAATCGCGTTTTGTTGTGTTCTTCTAATATGTTGCCGATTTTGTCCGCAGTGAAGTCTCACGCGTGCGAAATGAACGCCTACGGCAAATTGGGCGGCTGCTCCCATGTTTGCCTTCTGAGCGGCAGCTACAAGTCCCGAACGTGTCATTGCCGTGTTGGCTTCAGTCTTGGCTCCGATGGACAGTCCTGTAAAAGTAAGTTTGTCCCACTTTCCAATCTATTCTTTGAAACTTTTGTTTTGATCAATAACCGGGCTAATTGCAAGCGCTTACAATGAATGTCTGAAAAGTACAAAGGTAAGGTCATACCGGAGCAGACGGAGCATTCATCTGTCGCAGACCGACGCTGATCAAGAAGGGCACTGATGGACACAGATCATCCATCCGAAAGGACGGAATGCCATCATCGCGCCGCTGTTGTGATTGATTATCGCCAGATCATATTTTTAACTTTGTCTGCGGTTGTTGAGCAGGCTGATCAATGCCGGAAGACTGCGCGGTTGACATTGGAAGAAGCGAATCTAATTCACGTCACATTCGGGTGCGCAGGGCGGGGAGGGCGAGCAACTAGCAGTTTGGGTAACAAAGCGCCAGGACGTTTTGGGCTGACACTTTTGATTTATTCCCCCATTATAGATGATCTGATGGCAGAAGCCATCTTTTTTTTTTTTTTTTTTTTTATGCCTCCTTGCTCTCGCTTTCTCTCTTCCTCAACCTAATGAGATGGTGGTACTAAATGCTCGTGCTTCTTACAGCGGTCGCAGAGGAGTTTGATATCTGGGTCTCTCGCAAGGCTTAATTGTCTCCTGGGTAGCCGCCATCTCCCTCGCACAATGATAAATTGAATGGAGGCATGTGTGGTCCTCACCCTCCGCATCGTAGTCTCCCGGGTTGGCACCGAGCGCGAGGAGAGGTCCGTTTCTTTCTCCGGAAGCCCTCCTTCACGCTTCCTCTCACCTCTCGAGGCTCACCGAGGGTTGGAGTATGCGGAGCCCCCACCCCTTCGCGGCCGGCAGGCCACAGAGGAGCTCCGTCAGCTTTCTAGTCTTCTCTCTTGGTCCTTTTATGCAGGCGCGCTGTTATTTTAGATCAGAGACAATGTTCGCAGCCAAGGTAAGTATTTGTCTTGGTCTGTTTGCCTTGGTGCTTCCTTTCGCATACTGCCAGGCAACTTTTTTTTTTTTTTTTAAGCCCATGGATGATTGAGATGGGAACCAATAGTCATTGGCGCTGGTCATTGACGCCATTAACGTGAAGCGGGGAGGTCTAGAGAACAATGCCTTTGATGAAAGAGCTAATACCAAGGAACAGCAGTGACAAATCGCAGCAATTAAATCCCACTAACAGTAAACGGTCTCTCCTTTTGTTCCTCTTAGAGCCCCAAAACAATCTCTTCCTGTTCTATGGTAAGGGGCGTCCCGGTGTCATCCGAGGGATGGATATGAACGCTAAATCTAGCGACGAACATATGGTGCCCATCGAAGACCTGGTCAACCCTCGAGCTATTGACTACCACGCGGCATCGGGACAGATTTACTTTGCTGACACCACCAGTTTCCTCATCGGAGGGCAAAACATCGACGGGAGCAGCAGGGAAACAATCCTGAACGACGGTGAGTCCAAAATCCTTGACCCTGTCTGGTGAAACCGTCCGACGCACTTGGATACGTCCTTGATTTCAAATCCTGCTTGAATGACAATTTTTCTGTCGTCGTTGTTGTTGTAGAACTGGACAACGTCGAAGGAATCTCTGTGGACTGGATTGGCCATAACTTGTACTGGACCAACGACGGTTACAGGAAGACAATCAGTGTTGCCAGGTTGCAGAGTGCTTCTGAGACCAGGAAAACGCTCTTGGAAGGGAACATGTCGCACCCTCGGGCCATTGTGGTTGACCCTCTGAACAGGTACGGAAAAGCAGTTTTGCCAGACAACGCGGCCTCGGAGACGTCAATCTAAAATGTTTTCCCCCGGGGATTAAAGGGTGTGAAGTGGTAAATGTGTTGCAAGCTCAGTCAGTGACGTTTTTGCATTAGTGAATCAGAGATTAGGCGCTTCGAGAAGACGAACCGCCGCGACCAGCTCATTAGCTACAGTTCACCCACTTGATGACTTGTTCCATCGCCCTAATACGCAGTATTTCCTTTGTAAATTGAGGATGATCATGAACTTCATTGCACAACTCCATTCAAGTTTTCCACAAATTGCATCGATCGGCTCCTGATTATTATCAATTCAGTCAACGCAAATTATTTGCATGTTATTGCATGTGTTCAAGTCATCCAAATTGGATTACGTGCACAAACCCTGATAGCAAAATATCTTTGGCGACAAGTTGTGTGTTTTCAAAACGCACGGCGAAATCCGTATCGCTTTTATCGGTCCGACTTAAAAGCAAAAAATGCAAATACTGTATCTCCCAAAAATGTGACGCGAGGAAAAAAAGAGAGGCAAAAGCAATTTGGAAATTGGCGTTGAACATTTGCGGTTGACCCGTGAAATTAATCACAGACGGGGTTTTACAGTTGCGAGTTCAAGTCTTTGACTATTGAACTTCCCATCAAGCGATTTCCATGTCAGATTTACAACAGAGGCCCCGTCCGACCTTTGGATGAATGGCTTCATTTGAACCGCCATGACAGCATGTTTGATGACTAAAAATGAAAATTGTCTGCGGACTTTGAATAGGCTTTATTCGAAGTTGGTATTTGGAATAATTTGTGGCTATAACCTCCCGTGTAACTCCAATTCTCTTTTGAAAGGACTGAAAAAAAAAAACCCCAACAATCTGTTTCAAAAATTCCCTGTCGAGAGTCATTGTTTGCTTGTTTGTTCAATCTGGTGTTGTGGTTTTTCAGAAGCATTCCTATGGCGCGAATGTTGCAGAGCATCCGTTTCCCAGTTGCTTATCATCAAGCGAAAGTCGTTGTTCGTTCCAAGTTGATCATATCAGTAGCAAAGCAGTCGTTCGAGACCCTCGCGCTAATACCGCTTCGCTTGTTTGTCCAGATCAGTTTATCACCAGATTGCGGCAATTCCGCACGCCGCTTGTGGAGCAAGGCTTGAATGCCGACAAGTTTCGCATCAGAGGCAGCCGCCCGCTCATGCCGCTCAGTATTGGTGACACCCGGTTGGCGAAGCGGCCATCTCTGCTCGGCTACGCTTGAGGAGTTTCATCTCTGAGCTTGAAAGAGATGAGCCTGTGGTGGATTAGCCAGATGGAGTCCCCGTGGCTTTTACATCGACACGCATCGTGGCCGTACACTCTAATCGGGCACAATTAGTTGGTAACAAATAGCAAATTGATCCATAGTCACTCGGAGTCCCCGTGGCTTTTACATCGACACGCATCGTGTCCGTGCACACTCTAATCGGGCACAATTAGTGGGTAACAAATAGCAAATTGATCCATAGTCAATCAATTAAAAAAAATATATACATGACAAAAAATTGTGAACAAAGACTTTTCTTTTTGAAACCAAAGATGACTTGCCAATGTGTCAAGCGGCCACAGTATAGCGCCAACTACTGTCAAGGACGACTTATTCGTCAGATTTAATTTTTTTAAATTACTATTTCTTTGCCTTAAGTATCAATGGCGATTGGCTGCCTCCACGAGTGACAGTCCGATACCAATGCCTGATATCGGTATTCACCCCCACCCGAAGTTTGTATTGGACATATACACCATCTGCTAGTTTGAAGTGTCGACATTTGGTGGCATATCTTTTCCTCACAATTGACATGACAAGGTGAGATTCACCCTATAGTCTTTATCTTCAACTCAAAAATTGTGCTGATCTCAAATCCAAGGCGATCCAAACCCAACATCAACAGGGATCCGGTGTGTAAATTTCCATGAACTGACACGGGACACGAACCGGGCACGTTTTCATTCACGGCAGCCGTCATATCAAATATGCGGCCGGTGCTATATTCAGATATCCCAATTATGTCGTGGCCAAATGCCAGCCTAATATGATATGCGTGCCCGTGCGCGCGTTTGAATAATTCACGCGGCCATCCAGATGATTTGGAAATTTCGGCTTTCATCTTGCGCGACGGCAAGCAGGAGGCCACACGGCTCACTCAGCAACGCTCAAAAAGGAACAAATCCTCCGAGCACGCTTACTCGAAAACAGATCACGTCAAATCGCAGAGCCGCTCTGGTTTCAAACGCAACGCGTCCGTTGTGAGTTCCAACCTTGGGATACAAAACTTGGGTTGCTAACGCATGATGTGACGATGTGCAGCGGAGCATCTTTTGAACTTGATAAGCCTGAGTGATTTGTGAGGCTACAAAATGTTCGCTTTTCTATGCCAGGGTGTTTTTGTTGTTGTTTTTAATTATATGGATTTACTTGAGGGAAATCTTGAATCCAATTTATTCACATTCCTTTCGGGATGTGCTCATCGTGAAGTCAATCTCCGTATTCTGAACCAGTGGTTGGATTTGTGTTCTCTGTTGGAATCAAAGCGGGGCGAGGGAGGGGAATCATCATTCCCAAGGGTTTGTCGGAACAAAACCCCCGGTGAGGCATGTCATACAGGTATGAAACGGATCCCTTTCAAGCCTACATATGCTCTCAGATATCTTGACTGATAAAAAATCAAAGGGACTACCAGTCGATGTGTCAAGAAATAAAAGGTGAGGCTTCATCAGGGGAACCGAGCGCCCACCCTTTGCACATTTCGGCTTTGTTTTGCCCGTCGTGACAGTCA